TCAGGGATTGTTCTATGAGGATTATGGGTCCTAATGTGCCCCATAAAAACATTCTTCCTGGGCGAGAAACCATGAAAACCTGGGCGAGCCCATTGCTATAGATGGAGGGTGATCATAACGTAATGGTTATTCGGTGTTAATATATATATATATTTATATATATATAACATAATATCTAAATCAGCATATAGTCTTCTTTATTTTCATTTTAGTGACTTATTTTTTCTAATGTATTTTCTAGTATTTCGAATTGTTATGTGCAAAGTTTGCAGGCTGCGTATCTGTGAGTCTACTCCATCCTCAACAATTTAAGAGGCATGGCCGAGAAAAAATTGAATTTGAAGCATATCTTGCCGGTGTTTTAAACATGGTAAGCAATGTATGCATTTTAAAACTGTGCAAAATGTTCTGCAATATTATTTGCCTTTATGCTTTAAAATAGCTTCATGTGATCAAAAAAACTCTTTTTTCATCTCTCTTTTATAATAATTATTGAATGCTGTAAATATCTTACATTAATTGAATAATTCTTTTCCTATTTACAAGCAGCTGTCTAATTTTCTAGTGCTCCAGTCTATTTGAAAAAGATTCAAGTGTTTTCTTATCAGCTTGACACTTTTCGGTATTTTTGCTGTGGTTCCGCATATATTTAGGCTAATTAGAAAATTTGAATGCATATTAATTTGCTTTGTTTAATGAACTTGTCGGATTTACGTTAGGTGGTTTGCAATAAGCACAAAGTAATGAAGGTTTATTGTAAATAGCCTTATTGAAGGTTTATTGCAATTAGCTTAAGTAGTATGTCGCACATTTTTTAATAGCTGAAAGTATATAAGGAGATTGTAATAAACTTAAAAATATCAGGCTGATTATTGAATACTGAAAAGTTTTCTAATTAATCTGGAACATTGCAGTTTCAAAAAGCAGGATTTTTTTAATTACTTTGCGACTTATTATGACTTGTCTCTACAAAAGGAAAGACTCAAACTAGACTTTGATAAACAATAATACTGATTATAATTTTAAAAAATCATACGGGAAAAGAGTCTAACCGTTTTATGGGATAACTTCATCAAGGGCATGACACATCCTGATTTCATATTTATTTTAAGAAAATCCCGATTTACAAGCTTTAAGCTGCTATTTTGTTATTTTTAATTTAAATAATAAAAATAATTATAAGATCCGATGCATTAAATGAAAGAAGAAGAAAAGCTCAAACATGAAAATTGGAACTATTTTGAAAAAGAGAAGTTTTCTTCTGCAGAGAATAAAAAATACTGCGTTTTCTTTAAATTCCACCTAAATTAATCACTATGAGACCCTTTAAAGTAGTTTAAAGTTTGATTATCAATTCAAAATTTTTGTAGAGGAAGATTGACCTGGAGTTATTAAATACCTCAACATTCCTTGTTTAAATAAAATATTACCTTCAACTGTAATTAATGATATTACATTTGTCACTATCTTAAATCATAAAATCTAAAGATTTTTAGCCGAGAAAATATAGAAAATTTTTATTAGAAATACTTTTGCACACTTTAATTTGTAATAAGGTTCAGTAGTAGTGTTTACAGTGACAATGTTTTCTATATGAACGTGGATTACCTGCTTACACATTGATACATTTCACATATAAAGAGTGTAAGACAAGTTAGCACATAAAGAGTGCAAGTTTAGTTAATATTGTTAATCATTTCACATTTAAATAGCCTATTGAAGGAAAGTTATTTTAAATGACATGCTTGAACATTTAATTCAGAAAACAGAACACAGCTCTTCTTAAGAATTTCGTAAATGTCGTTAAATAATATCATTTTCAAAATTAAAATTTGTGTAAGACTAGTTAGTGAAGAGTTAACACTGTTAATCATTTCACTTTTAAATAGCCTAGTGAAAGAAAGTTCTTCTAAATAACATTTTGGAATATTTAACTCAGAAAACAGAACACAACTCTTCTTAAGAATTTTATAAATGCCATTAAATAATACCATTTTCAAAATTAAAATTTGTGTCAAAAATGTTTTCAAACTGTTGCACTATTTTTAAGGCTGTTGTTAGTAAATTCATTTGGATGAGGCTTCGTCCACTAGGTTCTAGAATTAGGCAAATTCCCAGTAACATCGCTTTCTAAACTAGCATGGATGCGCACCAGCTTACACACTGATGTATATCTCATATAAAGAGTGTATGACTAGTGGAAAGTTAATTACGTTAATCATTTCAATTTTGTATAACTTAGTGGAGGAAGGTTCTTCTATAAAACATTTTTGAGTGTTTTGGAATAACTGCTTCAGAAAACAGAGCACAACTCCTCTTAAGAATTTTATTATTGTCATTAAATAATGCAAAAGTAAAAAATTGTGTCACAATTGTGTTTGTAAAAGTAAAAAAATGTGTCATAAAATTTTCAAACTGTCGTTGTATTTTTAAGGCTGATGTTAGTAAATTCACTTAGGTGAGCCTAAGTTCTACAATGAGGAAAATTCCTAGTAACATCGCTTTCTATACTAGTAGGGATACTCACCACCTTATACATTGATACATATCACATATAAAGAATGTATGACTAGTGGAAAATTAATAATCTTAATCATTTCAGATTTGAATAACCTAGTGGAAGAAGGCTCTTCTGTGAAATTTTTTGTGTGTTTTGCAATATTTGCTTCAGAAAACAGAATAAGGCTCTTAAGAATTTTATAAATGTCATTAAATAATACCATTTTTAACAGTAAAAAATAGTAAAAGTAAAAATACCTATTGAGTTTTTCCTCTAAATTTTAGGGACATTCACACTACAAATGCATAAAAGGAATGAAAGGCCAGGATGAATTAAAGATAACTTTGTATTACGCTCACCGTTGCTTTCTATCTACAGTAGCATTATTGAAAGCTCACAGAAATGAACTTATAAAGGTAAGTCATTAAGCTTTTTCACTCTTTACTTCTTATAAAGTTTTATAGATTAGGATACATGCACAAAATACAATCTTTAATAAAAAGTTATGTAAGGAAGTTTGAATTGAGACAAGTACTCATAGTAAGAAAATTTGAATTCTTTATGAGTTTTATAAATTAAGATGCATATACAAAACACAATCTGTAATAAAAAGTTAGGTAAGCAAATTTGAATTGAGACAAGTACTCATAGTAAGAAAATTTGAATTCCTAAAAAGTGTTATTGATTAGGATACATGTACAAAACACAATCTGTAATAAAAAGTTATGTAAAAAAATTTGAATTGAGACAAGTACTCATAGTAAGAAAATTTGAATTCTTAAAAAATGTTATTGATTAGGATACATGTACAAAACATAATCCGTAAATAAAAGTTATGTAAGAAAATTTGAATTGAGACAAGTACTGATAGTAAGAGAATTTGAATTCTCTAAAAGTGTTATAGAGAGAGATTAGGATACATGTACAGAACATAATCTGTAATAAAAAGTTATGTAAGAAAATTTGAATTGAGGCAAGTATTCTTAGTAAGAAAATTTGAATTCATAACAAGTTTTATAGATTAGGATGCATGTACAAAACACAATCTTTAATAAAAAGTTATGTAATAAAACTTGATGTGAGACAAGTATTTTTAGTAAGAAAATTTGAATTCTTGACAAGTTTTACAGATTAGGATACCTATACAAAACACAATTTGTAATAAAAAGTTACGTAAGAAAATTTGAGTTCAGAAGAAAATTATTTAATAATCTTATCAATGTATGAGAAAAAATATTAATTCTGGAATAATTATTTTAGAGTGAGAGTCTGCAATAAAGTCATAGAGAAAAGACATTACAGAATAACTTTCTGGCGTTATTTCTGGTGTTTTACAGAAAATTGAGAAAAAATTCGTCCCTTTACAGTGCTGCAAAGTACTTTGATTTATTTAAGTATTTTGTAAGACAAAGAAAATGCGTCACAAGTATATTAAAAATGCTTTTTCTGTTAGCATAACTATGCATTTGAATGGAATATGACCAATATCTCTCCCATTAGTTGCACAGGAAAATAATTATGTCATACGGGTAATGTGGAGTAAAAGAAAACGGAACATTTTAATAGCTTTTGATTTAATGATCGGATTTTTCATGTCATGAGATGAAATTTTTATAGTCCGAGTGTCTTACAGTGAATATGATAAATAATTTGCATTGACAATGTTTTAAGTTGCGGAACTCGATGCAAAAGCGTGTTTTTTCTGGGTAATTTTTTCAAATTTTTTTTTTTCCCATTTGAAGACAAATTCGCGATTCCCCCTCGCAGTCTAAAAAATTGAGTAGCAGTTTGTTTTATCAGAAAAGCAGTCGCAAGTGGAACATTAATTTCCCTTTTTGCTTATTTTGCTCTAATTTTCGAGCATTATAACAAATCGAAAAAATTTTGAACTTGATTTAAAACTCATTTATTCCAAAATAGTGCCCTCTAAAATATAATTTTTAATACTAATTATTGTAACTAACTATATCTAAAAATCTGCTGTAGCATTCTTGTATTGTTGTTGGTACATTTTTATTAGCCGGAAAATGACAGGAAAAGATCCAGTTTTCCCAAGTTAATTTCCATTTTCCAAGTTAATTTCCACTTGGTCGTCATCAGCATAAAATTAAAAAACGTCATAAAAGCATTGTTTTCCTGTAAATATGTGGCGTAACTACCACTATAAATATTAAATACCAAATCACTAGTATATAAGACATGTTAACTCGATTTTATCTTGAGGTACCTTTTGATAGATGAAAGTTGACATAGTCGATTTATAAATCCCCACATTGGTGACCCGGACGTGATAAAAAATGATGGAAAAAAATAGCGAAAAGCTATTAAAAAAAAATAACGAGCGAAATGCTTGGAAGAAAAAATTTAAAAAAAAATATAATGAGCAAAAATTGAAGTTAATAAATAAACAGCATTAATCAACTAGTGGTAATTGTTCATCGAATTCTATCACAGATAAAATTCTGGAAGGGGAGTAATGTGGCGTAACTACCACTATAAATATTAAATACCAATTCACTAGTATATAAGACATGTTAACTCGATTCTATCTTGAGGTACCTTTTGATAGATGAAAGTTGACATAGTCGATTTATAAATCCCCACAAATATTTTTGCATCTCAAACTTAAAGGAATTTACCTGAAATATTTATTTTTTTTACGTTACTCTGATATTATTGCGTTTTTAAATTTGATTGTTTTCTAAATTAAGAATTTAAACTAAAAGTGTTGTCTCTTTATCATAGCGTGATTCTATGATGTTAACTTATTACTCTAAATTTTAAGCTAAACGTATTTCAATTGTTGTCTAAACTTATTAATCGTTTTACAATTATTACTTTCAGAGTAATTTACCTAAATAGACTATTATAAATTACCGTTATAGAGATTCTTTCAATGATGCAGAGCTTAACAATCAGCTTCACGATGCACAATGTAATGCCTGCACAAATTACATTTAATGTATCAAACTATTTGTTAAGTGAAAATATATTACGATTGTGAACTCACTAAATTCGTTCTCAAAATATACCTTTAATTTTTACTGTAACAAAATTATTTAAGATCACAAATATATATTGATGGAATCATAAGTGAAATAGAATTATACTAGATCTTTCATACTATTTACCAATCGAATTTGACACAAAATAAACATTTAATTTGAAGAAAATAAACATTTAATTTGAAGAAAATAAACATTTAATTTGAGGAAAATAAACATTTAATTTGATTAAAGAAATGAATGTTGGACGTGGGAAGTGGGGATGCAAGCGCAAGCATACGGAAATTTTTTTACTCTGTCAGAATTTTCATTCTAGCATGACTGTAAAATAACCACCATCAGTCTGTCCATTCAATTAAACGTTAAATTTTACTGTAAAAAAAATTTTTTTTTAGCCTTTGCTGTTTTGAAACCATTTATAACTAGTATGTTGTAAATGGTTTAAAAAAAACAAACTAAAAAAAAAACATGAATACGAAACTATACGGTTTTTTTACCATTTAGAACTAGCACGAAAGTTCTACACTTTTTTGTGTTAAGCAGCATGAGAGTACCATTATGAATGAGAGTATCGTATTCTGAGAGTCCAGGGTCACAAATCGGGGTGAGCAGGACACTGCAACTCTTCGTGTGTTGAAAGTAATGGAGGAAATATGGTGGTGTCAACGCTGAGACTCAATGACCCAGTCTGTCGGTCATGATATTGACAGATTACTCCTCTCGGTTACAGTATGCACCTAGCTGCAAGGAACTAAGTGGCATCATATTGCGGGCCTAGTTAGTGCGATAAAATTCTGGTTGTTTAACTGTATTAGGTGAAAGCAGTTAATAAACGGTTCTTCTCACAGCTAATAGTTTGAATACCATATTATGTATGGTTATTTGACTATTTTGTTTAAATATGGTATAATAGCAATTAAATAAATTGTTATTTAACCTTTTTTTCCGAGAAATTTCTAATAGTGTAGTACGTATATTATAAGTGAAAATTTTCAATTTTCGTAGAAAAAGTGTTTTGTGCTAATAATAGACAATTATTGCAAGTCAGTCATATCGTTTGATGTGCTACAACGAGCAGGGTGCTTATCTCCCCAGTAATTTAATAATTTTCGAACGAAAAATTCTTGAAATGAAAGGTATATAAGATTTTACCCAATTTTGAAATTGTGTATTGTCACTATATTTTAATGTCTAAAAAACTAAAAAGCTTTATTATATTACTTAATGAACTTTATTTTATTTAAATAGATTACTGAACTGCTTTTGAAAAAAGGAACCTTGGGAATTGGTGAAATCGAAACGATTCTGACAGGTCCTAAAGGAAAAAGTTCTAAAGATCGAACTTTGTACGATTGTTTTGTTCCAACTCTCACTCTACAAGGGCATTTGGAGTTCAACAGAATGCTTTAATCTGAAATCAAAGCAAATATGAAGAAAATTTGATTTGATATTTAAAACACTTTAAAAAATAAAAAAGAATAAGAAAATATAAAGAATTCTAAATCATATCAATTTTGATTTAATACGCAGATAATTGCTACAAATGTTATTAAAACTAAATGTTAATTTTTATTAAATAGAAAGCTTTACTTAGGATTCAAAATAAAAACGAAGGAAATTTAAATTGGTATCTACAACTTTATTAAAAATATTAAAGTATAAGTTAATGGATCGAATTCTCAATCATATTAATTTTGTTTAAATAGAGATGATTTCTACTAATTTTCCATTTTTTAAATAGGAAACTTTGATCGGGATTCGAAAAAAAAATTAAGAAAATTCGAATTGGTAATTAAAATACACTCAAAAATATTAAAGTATAAATTAATAGGAAAAATTCTCAATCCTATTAATCTTATTTTAGTATGCGAATGATGCTGCTGATTTTCCATAATATAAACTTAAATTTGCTTCAAATGTTTAAAAGAAAAACTTTTTAAAACACTCGATTGATTATTACAATTAATTTTTTAAAAATCTATCCTGACTTGTGTATTGATGATTCTATAGATTGTTATTATTTTTCAATTTATTGCGCATTGCTACAATTTAAATAAGATAATTGATGACGCGCTATTCTCTTATACTGAAAAACGGCGATCACATTTTGCCAATGGGTAAAAAAAGGAATTCTCTGCAAATATTTGAACAGAACTAATAAGTATTTTAGCCATGAATGCATGCTATACTTTTTTTATAACATATTAATTATCTCACATTGAAACAGTTGGTGCTTTTTTTTCCTTTTTTTAATATATAAATGAGCTTTATATGCATTTATATACATCTTCATTGAAGAAATCGGCTAAAATAAAACCGTAAATGTCTGTAATTATTCAGTGTAATCGACTTTGATAATTGAGTAGAGATTATCCTGGTAGCAGAAGCTTTGCACGGCTGTGTACGCTGCAGAATATCGCTGCATCTGCAGATTAATTTTTATCCAATTATCTTAGTTTTTATCTGCAGATAATTTATTGTCTTTTATTTTTGATTATTTTATCTGCCGATTATTTTATATTTTATCTCATCGTCAGCTATTATCTCTAGCTAAAGAAAATTTATTTTCAATTCTTTGAAAATAATTGACTTTGAGAATAATTACGTCAGTAGAATATTTTTTTGCCCCAAATTATATATTTAACTTCAAGTAATTGATATGGTAATTTTCTTTTATCTGAGAAAGTTTTGAATTAAAAATTGTAGAAAAAACTAGAATAGAAGTTCCCAGATTTAGAAGCCACAGAGTATTTTTAAATTAAAATTCTTGCAAAGTATTTTACATGTAAGCAAAGGTTATTTTAATTCATTGTGTGTAATTTGAATACATTTTTATGCAAATGTATTTATTGAAGGTCCATAATATTTCGAGCCACTTAAGGTCCCATATTCAAATATTTTATACGGTGAAAACAAAGCATTCTGTAAACATGCATTGATAAACATCTCCAATACCAATGTTGAAAAACGTCTTTCATTCACGTTTAAAGGTGCTGTTTTTAATTAGAATCGCTGAAAAGAATATTAGGCGTAAAACTCTTTTTAAAGAATAAACAAGAAAATTGAGAATTTCTAATATTCTAAACTAATTTTCTTCAATTAGCTGGAATTTTCGAAAATGAAAAAAAGAATTATAAATGGCAAGACATTAAAAAAAAGATTAAGAATTTCTAAAAATTCTGTTTTTTTTTAATTACAGACTGTACAATATGAATTTTAGAAAGCATAATTTTTATCGACTTTATTATTTTTTTTCTACTTTAAATTTTTCTGATATATAATACAAGTTAGATTATGCCTAGTTTTAACCATGATTGTCTGTGCTTGACTGTGATAGGATTGCAGATAAATTTGAATCTATGAAGATTGTACAGAAGATTGTCTCTGTAAATTCTGCTGTCAGGGCAATAGCTTGTGTAGCATACAAAGTAATTTGAGCTTTAATTTTTACATTGTATTCATTTTTATATTGACTATTGCATTGGTTTTTATACTGACAATTGTTTTGATCTTTATATAAGTAACTTTTCAAAAACAATATTTTCAACAATATTAGATTTACTCAATATCTTTAAACTCGAAGTTTTATAGTATTTTCTAATCTTTTTTCCTTCACTTAACTTTTGTTTATAATGTATTTGCCAAGTTCACTTCGTTTTCTCTTTTTCTTTGTATTTACATTAAGGCCATTTATTTGCATTAATTAATTTGTAAACAGATTTTAGCTTGTTGTAAATTAGATAATTGCAGGTATTGTAAATAATTGCAGGTTTATTGAAAATTATAACGGATTGCTGCTGCTCTTATGTTTTAGCGATACAATTTTTAAAAGCCTAGACTCTAGATTTACTCGTTAATCCTAGAATTAAAAAACATATACTTTACCTAAAACAAACTTAGAAAGAGTTTATTTAACATTAATAGTATTATTATTTATTCATTACTATAATTATATAAAAAATTTAATTTATGCACTCTTAAACATTTAGGTTTCACAAAATTGTTTAAAAGACTTGTGTTTTATTAAATTGAGTGCAATGTTATTTTTAAAAAATGATTTTGTTAACAAACATACAATACATAATTACGACTTAGCATAGATAATTTCTTTTTTAATGTTTTGACATTATAATTGCTAATTGTTGATTTCAATGGATTTTTTAATAAAATGTGACTTTAACTGCATTCAAAAATTCCAAATTTCAAAGGTTTTAAAAATTGAGAAATATTTTAATCTATATTGATTTTTAAGTCAATAAATAAGATTTATTTATATTTTTTAAAAAAAAAATTAATGAAATAAAAAAATGATCAAAATGTTAGTTTAATTGAACGGCAATATTTATATATAAAAAAAATTTAAAAAATTATTACTAAGATTCAGTATCGATAACAGTACTTTTGTTATTTTACTGGTATTCTATTAATTAATTTATAACCATCATGAGAATTTCAATAAAAGGTTTTTAAATGTATTAAAAAAATTAAAATCGAATGTTAACTAAAATATAGGATTCGTTCGTTGATTTTTTCTTCTTCACATAAATTCCTGTTGCCAACAAAATTTTAAATGTGCAGAAACAATACCAAAATGCATTTATTTGGAAATTACTTTGATTAATTTAAAAGTACATTTTGATTTTATTTGATTTGTTCATTTACGTCGCTCTAGAGCTGCACAATGGGCTATTGGCGACGGTCTGGGAAACATCCCTGAGGATGATCCGAAGACATTCCATCACAATTTTGATCCTCCGCAGAGGGGACTTTTTAAAAGTACATTTCATAAGAAACTGTGAGAAGTATTTGAGCTTAAAATTTTTTTTTAATGCTTATTAGTTTTATACCAGGCAATATTGTTTAAAAAATGTTTAAGAAAATAAGTAACTGGGATAGCATTCATTAGTACGTTTGATTGATGATATGTATTGTCTAGTAAATAACTTATTGCTTCAACTTTTTTCAATTATTTGAAAACAAGTGACTTTGAGCTTAATCACGTCAGTAGAATATTTTTTGCTCGAAATATAATTAACTTTTAGTAATTAATGTGTACATTTCCTTTATCTGAGAAAATTTTGAATTACAAATTAATAGAAAAAACTAGAATAGAAGTTTCCAGATTTAGAAGCCGCAGAGTTTTTGTAGATTAAAACTCTTGCAAAGTATGTTACACAAAAGCAAAGGTTATTTTAAGGTGCAGTTTGAATATTTTTTTATCCAAATATATTTATTGAAGGTTCATAATATTTTGATGCACTTAAGCTCTCATATTTAAATATTTTGCGGCGAAAACAAAACATTCTTCAATCATGCATTGCTAACCATCTCCAATACCAATGTTGGAAAAATGTCTTTCACACACTTTTAAAGGTGCTGTTTTTTAATTAGAATCTCTGAAAGGAATAATAGGCGTAGAACTGTTTTTAAATAAAAAACTAGCATGTGCTCGTTTAGAAAAAAATGAATCAATCTGATTTCGAAGTGTCTATCTATTTAGAATATCTGATTCATTTCAAACTGTTCGGTATCAAAAAAGTTTGGTGAATGGAGGACAAAACAAATGATATCAAATATGGAAACAAAATACCTTTATTATCAGTCATCCAGAATACACTTTCACTTAGCAACTGGAATAATGTTTTTATTTTTATTTTTACTTCGAATGTCTCGATCCATATCAACTTGCGTCTAAAATGTCTGTGCATATCGTGCGTCTAAACAATTTGATGAATGAGGAATAAAACAAATACAAACACAAAATATGGAAACAAAATATCATTATTCATCGTGAAGTTATAATCAGTTAGCCTCAATACACTTCAATATAACAAGTGCAATAATGGTCTGTCTACTTCGAATGCCTGATACATTTCGGACTAATCCCCCCAGCCAGCACCTAATGCGTTTATGCATATCATTCGTCCAAAAATTTTGATGAAAGGGGCATAACACAAATCATGGAAACAGAAAACTACCTTTATTCATCCTCAAACTATCATCAGTTAGCCACAATACACTTCGATAAAACAGCTGGAAAAAGTCTATCAAAGCTTCTTCTGAAATCGATCGAGAAACACAAAAATCACGTTTTCAAAGAGTTTAGAACAAAATGGGAACAAATTTCACGCTTAATCAAATCTTTTTGTGTGTTATCTGTCATGTCAAATTAACTTTTTCTTTTCGATATCCTTTAAGGAGCTAACAACAACATTTGTCGTAACCGCTTTGCTAAAATTCTGCTTTCAGATTTGTCGAGTGCCGTGAACGTTATTCATCACCCACGGTGTCAATAAATTTAGATTGTGTGAGAGCTTAGAAGTGTTAGAGATTTCTGGGAACTTTTTGTTAATCCAGAAAACTTTTTCTTTCAATTTGTTTTAGGGTATATCATTTGGCTTTAACATTAGGCCTCTAGCTACCTGGGACAAGCAAATTTTCCTTGCATCAATCAGGAAAAAGAATAATACGTTAC